TTGGATTCCACAAATCCAAAATTAGATTAATGATAATATTTATGTATATAAGTATTTTAAACTAACAAATAAAAGTGATAACTCAGACTGCATCTAGAATATGGTGTCCAGTTGTGGCCACCACAATGCAAGAAAGATGGAAACAGTGCAGAGAAGAATAGCAAAAATGGCCAGGGGCTTGGAGCTAAATCCTCCAAATAACAGTTAAAGGAACTGGGTGAATTTAGTATAAGGGAAGGCTAAAGGGACACATGATAGTATCTTGCAATGCTAGAAGAGCAGTTGCAGGGGAAAGAGTATGGTTTTATTCTCCATAGCTCCTGAGGTAGGACAAGAATGGGTGGAAGCTTTAAAAGGGAGATCCAAATTCAAACTAAGGAGAAATTTCCTGATTGTGAAAGCTATTCATCTCATGGAATCAAGGATGCTCCAGCACTGGAGATTTTCAAGCAATGGTTGGACAGCCATTTGCCTGGGATGATATGAGAAATTCTATCCTGGGCAGAGACTTGGATTAAAAGACCTATGATGAGAACTGTTGATACAGAAATGCCTCTCAATCTCTTCTCCTTCATAAGAAAGTTAGAGGCACATTACAAGCCCGAATGGCAAGCCAAAGGAGGGAGATGCATCTATGCAAAACCTACAGGGAGATGCAGATGTAATATTCTGAGACAGAACCCAGTGAAAGCATTTTGTCCTAAGGGCTGTTTAAAACTTAGGACCAAAAGCCACATGGAAGAGGTACATTATTATATCCTGAAGCTATCTGGACAAATAGAATTCTTAAAAACTCCCAGATTCCACAACTTCAATAGGCAGTTTGCTTCAGTAGATAAGTACTCTATTATTTAGGACATTCTTCCAACTGCCTAATCAAAGCCCATCTCATTCTCCTTTAAAAGCATTGGTCAAGTTTGCAGGTCACGTTATCCTGTGCTTTATAGGGCAACTGTAACAAGCTATACTCCTCTCCTCTCTTCCTTTTGTGTTTCTGAATGCTTTTCCTGTTAACTTCACTTAAACACAGTTTGTTATCTGAATTAGGGGTCATGGATTCTGTTAACATGGTTAAAAAGCCCTAGTTTCAAGTTGGCTTGCTTCAAAACTGGCCACACATAGTACCCACAGTTTCTTACCTATCCTTATTACAGATTGTTTGACTTTGTCTTGTTAATGTTCTTTTACTTAAGCTAAATATTCTTTAGCCTTTTCTTTATATAATTCATCATCTAAACTATTTATCAACCTTATAGCTCACTTTCTGATTTACTGTGTTAAAATTAAATGCATCTCAGCCTGAGTGCAGATTTTGTCTATTCTGAATCATTCACAAATTTGAAAAATGTGGTGTATTACTCAAACTTTCATGTAAGCCACCTGGTGATAAAACTAAAGCACCACCTAAAAATCATCTGTAACTGAAGAAAATTAGCAAGATTATTTATATAGTGGTCTAGAAATAAGCCCTATCAAATCCAGTGAGACTTGCTTCTCAGTGTGTGTATGTGTGTGTATAGGATTGAACCATCCAGTGTCTGATGATGAAATATAAAAAAAAATCTATTTCTAAAACAACTTAAAACAGGGCATTTAGTCAAATTGGGGCCAAGCCAGTTTTTTAATCTATCTTTAGGATCTGTTACCTTTCAGTATAAATATACCTGGTGGCCTATAGTCAAAGCCTGTAAGCAATAAAGGCATAACCCAAATAAAGCTATACACCACCCAGAGTCCACTGGAGTTGGGTGGCCAATAAATGTAAACAAACACACAAACAAGCTAGCATCACAAAGACAATTTTCTTCATGCCTAAAAGTTCCCATCAGTGTAAAATTTAATTAAAACATGTCACATTAAACTGTCTTCTCTGAATATCTAGGGAAATGTCTACACTGTTACAAAGAAGGAATTTCTCAGGCTGCAAGTATGGTTGCATCTCCTAATAGTTTGTTAAATTATTATTCAAAAAGGATCACTGAAGCTCTGGGTGCCTATGCACTATCCATTTAAGCTGCTTCTGTCCTGTGCTCATGACAGCTTGATTCTAAATCCTCTCCAGGCTGAAACACCTTGGTGACAGCAGGCCAGCGGGTCCGTCCTCCCACTGGGCAATTCCCCTGCTGCTACGCACTCCCACCTTACTCTTCCGGAAAAGTGTCAATTGCTTTCCTTCCTGAGGTTAGGTTTTCCTGGGACAAGAAGAGGGTGTGAATGAGCCCTAACAAGCCCAAATTGTATGACCTAGATCACAGACATCAAATGTGAATTGGGTTACCAACCAGTCTGAATATTGTATCTCCACAGAATTTCCAAAACAGAATGTTAAAAATGCATGCTTTGCTTGCATAATTTTATTGAATCAAATATCTTCTTCTTCTTCTTCTTCTTTTTTTTTTTTTGCAGAGAAAAAGTAACATTCAAAGCTTGCTAATTAAAAGCAATATTAAGGCTATTCCAGATCCACATTATGTAATAATAGTACTGTGGCCTTCATTATATTCATTTTATCAACGGTCATTAAACATGATTTAATCTTCTTTATTAGCAAATAAATCTAATGATGCAGGGAGGCTGAAGCAAAAAGGGAAATATCTGTAATTTTACTGTACTTTGACAGGCAAGGGCTATCTTGTCCAGAACTTCTATTTAGAGAAGGGGAGCAACTCAACCACACATTGGAAACCTACCTTTGTATAATAAATCAAGTATATGTCAAAGTACTCCAGACATTTAATAAAATAAGTTATAAATAGTGCAGTTTATCTGGAATGTATGCAAAAATGTTCATTTTATTGCTTATCATTTTCTTTGCCCCTTCTTCTTGCTGTCCCTTATAGCCCCCACCCAGAAAAGAGTTGCAGATGCTCATGGAGGTGATGCAAGGACTGCAAAGTGAGGATAGAATCAGCAAGGAAGTACTTCTGCCTCTAGGACATTCTGAGAATTGTCATGGAGAAAAGCTGAACCCAACCCATTCTTAGGAAAACCTTTTTCTGGGGGGGGGGGGGGTTAAAAAAAATTGTGAATGACTTTTTGAAAAGCCATTCACTGTGTGTCTCTCTGTGTGTGATTGATTATTTCAGCTATAAAGGTAAAGTCACCCTTAAGTTGAGTTCAGGACCTGGTGACTACCTGGATACAACCATGCAGGCCTCTTTTTGGCAACAGTTCAGAAGTAGGAGCCATTGCTTTCTTCCAGGATGTTTCCCTTTCAAGCCTACAGAGTTAATACCCCTTGACAGTCTCCCATCTAAATACTAACCAGCCCCAGCCAGGCTTAGCCTTCCAGCAGTGGCGTGTGTAGAGTTCTGTGGGCCTCCAGGCAAACTTCTCAGATGAAGCCTCCTAAGATAGAGTTAGTCATATAACAATGCAATAAAAAATTAACTCATTCAATACCTTGGGAATATAGGTACTATCCGAGTAAGGTATGAGCCTGTCTCTCTTTTGGCCATGACTGCAACAGGTGAAGGCTTAGGCAGCCTTGGGGTCTGGGCAAAGATGGCTGCTGGCTCTTTGGCAAGGCAAGAAAGGACAGATTACAAGGAGGAATGGAGCAGGCTGGAAAGACAG